GGGGGGGGGGACTGTGTGTGTTTATGTGGTTTCTGCTGGAGGGTGAGGGACTAGTCAGCCCCGGGGCAGACCTGTGTATACCTAGAGCTATTTCCTGCTCTTATTCACCTCTCTACCTTAACCTTTTATATTTTTACTTCTCATATTTTAAGATATGAATCCTGGGCTGAGTGTATATATTTAATTTTACAACATTATTAAACTGACTTGTAAGGCAGGTAGCAGAGAATGTAAAGAATAAAGGTCACAGTCTGCCAATATCTATCTGTTAATTAATCTACAATCTAAAAGTCATGTAATGAGGTGATGTGTATGTGTGAGTGCATTGCAGACAGTCATTTCAAGATATGTATGAGTGATCAAATGTGTAATTGTGCTTTATTTCCTTCCAACATCTCTTTTACTGAATGGGTGTGTGTTTATGCTTATACAGAACCACTTGGACAGCATGCAGGTATTTCAGAATTGTTTTTATTTGTTTACTTGATCTTTACTTACACCTTTCCCAGTGTAATCAATAAGGGTCTACTGCACCCCCATGTTTACTTTAGCCCTGGAGCTATGGTGATGTAACACCACATTACAAACAAAATGATCCATCTATTTAACTTTTGTATTGATGATAAACAAGTGGTACTCAAAAGAGAAGAGGTAACTTAAAGCATACATCAGTTCAGAAATAATCTGATGTGTGCTCTTTGCTTTTTGGTTTTCAGAAATATTCAGGGCTGCTTCTTTTCTTGGGCTTTACTACCCACTCAGCTCTGTTTCACATTTCCCATCAAAGCAAACTCACAAGTGGAGAGCTTTTTGAAAGTCTGGAACATGACTGACAGCATAAACTGGAGGTCTTTCTGACTTGATCATAAAGAAAAATTCAGCAACACTCGCTTAACAATTGATGAAAAGATTCAGAATATGGATCGACTTCAATTAAAGACGAATGCCTGGGGCCTCACTGACCGACCTCAATCCCACATAATCAAAGCCCATCAACACGTTGAGGTGTGCAAATTTAACTTTATAAGATCAAACACGTGTTAACAAGTGTGTGTTTTTAGATGTGAACAAATACAAATATCAGGCTTCAATAAATGAATGTGGAAAATCTAGTTAACTGGTTAATTAAATTGCAATAAAGAGTCTGCAGTGTGTATAGCAGATATTTCAGTTTTTCTTTTAAAAATATATAAGTATTAATCATTACATCGATGTAATGTTGCATACAGTAGATTTTTGCTTTGTGTATACGACTGTTTTGTTGTCAAAGGATCACATTGCCAGTGATGAATGTGATGCTTTATCGTTGTAGCATTGCATGTCTATGATTCAGCATGTTTTGAAAAACTCTACTTGCCATACAGCTGTGAAATGTATGATGCAATTAAAACTAATACCTCCTATTTGACTAATTCAATTTTACAAACGCAGGGATTCCTTTGGTTGCGTGCCTTCTAACAGCATGTAATATCCAGCAGCAATCTGTGTGCTTGAAATGAACTGAACAGAGCGGCATACAGAGCGCTGAAGCAGCAGGGGGCGTGGCAGTGTGTTGGGCAGTGTTGAAATAAATTCCACGGTAGCTTCAGTTTCCTGAGCATCTGCGGTTCAGACTGTTGTCGGTTGAGATTGAGGTTGAGAAGTGATTCTCGATGATCAATCATTCAATTTAAGAAATAATGTTAAAGCTCCTGGAATTTCCATTATACCTGCCCAAACAAGTGTGTTCAGTTTGTCAGTGTTAGTTTGTGCATTCAAGTTTTCTGCTCTTAAAGTATACAGCTGGTGTTATTTAATATATTTGTAATTGTCAAATAATCCAGTAAAAAGACCACTACCAACATTATTTCCTCGTTTTTGGAGATTCCTTTTAATGTTTGTGAAATGAAGGGGACAGCAACAAGGTTTAAAGAGCCCATGGGTTATTGAACATGCTCAAATGTAATTATTTTGTTGCAAGAATAGATATACAGTTGTATAGGTCATTTTACTAAACTCTCCCAGAAGTGTTTGCTTCTATCACTAAACAAATCCTGTGTGTGTGTGTGTGTGTGTGTGTGTGTGTGTGTGTGTGTGTGTGTGTGTGTGTGTGTGTGTGTGTGTGTGTATTATTGTTCTCATAGTCTAGAAAAACCCTTCCATCCCTTTTACAGCCCATACAAGAAGTGATCACATATTTAAGGCATTTTTTTATTTTTTGTTAGCTTCTGTAAACACTGCTACTTCTTATTATAAAAGCTCTCAGTGTTATAACAGTGTGACATGTGTATAACATGTGACTCAAGCCCAAAGTCCATTAAGTAAATCAACATGGAAACCAATCTTCTGTATCATTAGAAATATATATATCCTTTTTTACAAAGGTAAGGTGGTTCCTTAAAACAGCTGAGCACTGGAGATGTTAGCATACGTCGCTCAAACAGAAGTAAATAGTGCATTTGCCGGGGATTATTTTCAGCTGCTGATTATTGTAACACTCTTTAATGAGTCCTCACAGTGGTAGGATAATGTACAGTATGAGGGATTTACTTACATAAAGCATACTGCCTATGTTCGTCATAATGAAGGAACATATTACATTTGGCTCATTGATGAGTTTGTAAGTTGTTTATGACAACCGTTGGAGCTCTATGACACAGTGGAGAAAGCTTTACACTGTAAGGCCACAGCGACAATATTTGTTAATAGGATAAAATTCATGTTGGTTTTGGTTTTTTCAAGCGATTACTTGACAATAAGACAAATTATGAAATATTACCAGCCTCATGCTCTTAAGACATGCATACTGCCTTGAAGTAAGAAGTTTTAATTTTCGTTTTTTCCCCCAGTAGAATAAGCATCAACTGTAGTGCATGTGTACTTTAAAGATGTTTTTATCAGTAATAAACAATCCATGTTAAAGTCTTAGAGTAATTCTTATTCCATGTTCTATTTGTGTGTAGACAGTAGACGTATAGCATCTGATACGTAGCTACTGTACTGTGTGTCCTCGGGTGTGTCTGTGTGCAGAAATGTTAGTCCTGCATCCTGTGGTTTCCTTATTTTTTTCTTCTGTTTTCCTTTGTTCCCATCCTTTCTCTCCTTGCCCTTGTCTGTCTGTTCTGCTGTCGGTCCCTCTCTCTCTCTCTGTCTGTTCTTCTGTCTGTCTGTCTCTCTCTCTCTCTCTCTCTGTCTGTTCTTCTGTCTCTCTCTCTCTCTCTCTGTTCTTCTGTCTCTCTCTCTCTCTCTCTCTCTCTCTCTCTGTCTGTCTGTGTCTCTCTCACTCCTCTCTTGATGACTCTCCTCCCTCACCACAATCAGGCCAAAGTCCGCGAGCTGGAGGAGAAATGTCGCTCTCAGAGTGAGCAGTTCAACCTCCTGTCAAAAGAGCTGGAGAAGTTCCGGCTCCAGGCCGGGACGTTTGATATCCTCAGCACTGAACCCTTAACTGTGTGCGGGTCTCCTCCTGGGTCGCCCACCAAATCCCTCTCACAGCTCCTCAACGGACTGGCTGCCCCCATAGGAAAGGGTATGTCAATGTCCCAATTGTAGTTTATTAACGCATGTCTGTCCATCCTGGGAAACTGATCCCTCCTCAGTTTGTCTACATGAGCTTTCTTCCATTATTATTATATCCACTTTGTAAAACCCAGTGAGGCCAATATGTAATTTGTGATATTGGGCTATACCAAAAATAATGATCGATTGATTTCATGTTGTTGTTATGCTTTTTTTTTTTTTTTCAAGGTTGATAATGGTATAAATTATAACATTTACTTATGGCAGATGCTGTTTGCACCTTGGTGACTACAGTGAACAATGCTAATTGCACCCTGGGTGTATGTAGCCACATTATGTATTTTTTTTAAATAGTAATATTGATTTTTGTCCTATCAAGACAACAAAAACTGTTAATGAAAAAAGCACCACCTTGTAGTTGACAGCTTGTGTTCTCTTTGTTTTTGACTTGTTTTTGTTAACACACAAATGTTTAAAGTAGAATGTTTCATCAACAGTTCAAGTTTTAATTTATAAAATACTTTAAAAAAAATGGTTTGCATAATGTTAGTACCATTAAACAATGTTAAAATGTTGGGTTACTCTTTTGTTTCCTGAAACTCTCAGTTTCTCTTTTTGGTACCGGATTTAAGTGCCGCTACATTGTGAAGTGAAGATCTGATGGGAGAAGTTGTTTGTTCCACAGGCAATGAGGCTCCAACAAGCAGATCTTTGATATCTGAGTTCATTCGGCCGCTGCAGATCAGTGGAGAGAAGCCGGAGCTCCTCTCTGTCAAGCCAACATTCCTCACTCGAGGTCGAGTCAGCAGCCCAGCACGGGCCTTCCTCTCTGAGGTATCTGATCATGTCTGTTTGGATAACTTCTGGCTTTCACTTTATTGCACTCCTCCAAACTCTGCATGACATCTGAGCCTAACAAACCCACGGCTGCCTAAGGCAAAACTATGTAAACAGCCAAAAAGACAATGTGGGGCTGAAAAAAGACTTTATTTGGAAGCTAATAAGATCCTGTATGTGAACCTTTGCTAACAGCAAGTGGCAAATCAAAATGTAAGAGCTACAAATAATGTTGGACCTTTAAGCTCACTGTTGTAGTCCTTTAGTATAGACAGTGGTTTGTAACAAGTGTGGGGGGGGGAAATCCCAAGGTGAGTAAAGGGGGTAAACAATTTAAACAAAATGTCCTTTAAATAGTTGTTGTGTTGAAAATTGTGTATTTTTTGGATTCTCTAGATGGACAAAGAGCTCGGCTCAACTACCAGGTCCAAACCGACGTTCACAGGGAAGGTTCGTCTGTGTATTGCTCGCTACAGGTACGTATCACACACAACTATTATTTTTTGCAGACATAATTCAAATGAGATGAGGAGATGTTTACACAATAAAACTTGTTTTACCTTAGATATATTCATTCAATCATGTATCTTCTTGACATTATGCGGGGATACATCACTTATTTTTGTTTACCTCTCTTAACATCAATGAATTGACGATAAAATAACTCACATGTTAGCCATATAATAACCAGTGTTATAATAATACATATCACACAAACTGTGAAGTAAGACACTAACTTATTCCCCACCCATTCACAGTGTTTTATTTACAACACTTTACACACAGGTAAAACAAATAAGTTTAGTGGTTTCAGAGCGTCTTCAGAGTACAATACGCTAAAATAAGAAAATCCCCGAAAACAGTTAAACATCCTACGAGAGGCTGATAATTAACCAGAGAGGTGGCCAAAAAACCATTACCTACATTACCTTTTAAAAGTGAAGTGGATGCTCAGTGTAGACAAGTCATGGCCAAATCTTGCTGGGATTATTTGCTTTCTCTCACAGAGCCTTAGGCTGTGGTCTTAAAGATGATTCAGTGTTTCTATCTCTACAGAAAATTACCTGTCAGCACAAAAAATAATTGGAATTCTCAGAGCACAAATATGTGAAACAGGGCCAGAGCTTTCAACCCACACTATACTCAGCTCTCTCATATTTGTAAAAGAAAACTGAATTAATAGATTAAAAATAGAAACACACATCATATTTTAAAGCAGCACTCGGCAAAACAAATATTTATATTCTAAAATTGTAGTAGTTAACATTGAAAGACTCTTCTAAACATTTTGAAATATAACTCCTACAGTTAAAATGTTCATTTATTTTTTTCCGCTGTAGTTACAATCCTTATGACGGGCCTAATGAGCATCCTGAGGCAGAGCTCCCCCTGGTGGCAGGGAAGTACCTCTACGTTTACGGGACAATGGATGAGGATGGCTTTTACGAAGGTCTGACCTCTCTTGGTATTTCATCTTTTGTTCTTTATACCACCAGAATGCCAAAATTCTGCTGTCTCTTTCTCAGGAGAGCTGCTGGACGGACAGCGGGGACTCGTCCCATCCAACTTTGTGGAGTCTGTCGCAGATGAGGATTCAGCCTTTGTCAAACACAGGGACACAGTGGCTAAAGAACCTGGCTACCTCAACCACAGTAGCCTGGGGGCTCAGAGACTAAAAGTCGGCACAGGAGCGGGAACGAGCATAAGCCGACTGCTGTCTGACAGACTAGACTGTTTAAGCACCAGCAGCTTGGGCATGGACCACCTGGGCTCCTCTAGCAATGGGACAGGAACCTTGGATGTCAACATTGACGAGGTCGGTGAAGACATTGTGCCTTATCCCCGCCGCATCAACCTGATTAAACAACTGGCCAAGAGTTTGATTCTTAGTTGGGATCCTCCTGTGGTCCCGCCGGGCTGGGGCTCCATCAGTGGCTACAATGTCTTGGTGGATAAGGAGTTGCGCATGAGTGTCCCCTACGGGGGCAGGACAAAGTCTCTTCTTGAAAAGCTCAATCTGGAAACCAACACATACCGTATCTCGGTGCAGGCCATCACTGAGCGGGGCCCGTCGGACGAGCTGCGCTGCACTCTGCTCGTGGGAAAGGACGTGGTGGTGGCACCTTACTACCTGCGGGTGGACAACATCACGCAGGTCTCTGCTGAGCTCTCTTGGATGCCAAGCAGCAGCAACTACAGCCACACCATCTTCCTCAATGGTGCAGAGTACGACATGGTCAAGGCGGGGGGCTATAAGTACAAGTTCTTCAACCTGAAGTCCATGACAGTTTACAAGGTGAAGGTTGTGGCGCAGCCGCATCAGGTGCCTTGGCAGCTTACCCTAGATCAAAGGGACAAGAAGGAGATCTCTGTGGAGTTCTGCACTCAGCCTGCAGGTCAGCCTCCAAAACAATACTCACATTAACACTTCAGTAAACAACCCTAATGCAGCTAGATATACTGGGATATTTTAAGCCTAGCTAGCACGATTTTAGCATTGCCATTGTCTATTGATTGTTTGTTTGGGACACTGATTTGTTCAAGGCACAAATATTGCAAATATGCACACATACAGAGCATATCCTTGGTAAAGATATGAGGTTTTCTTATGACTCCGATAAAACCCATCACGTTTTCACTATTGTTTACTCTGCATAACTATTTGATTCATTGCCATGACATGTGGTAGTCATTCATATCCCCCTCAGGATGAATTCCAATAACTAGTTGTATTGGTTATCTCCTGCTTTGTCCAACACTTCAGTTTATGACCAACTCTAATGACATTTCTATCAGCCTATCAGCTCTACCTTTCGTTTTGTTCCAATTAGCAAATGATAGCATGCCATTAAAGGAAAATAAGATGGAGAGCGTGATTGACATTATACCTGCCCTCTTTAATACACAGCAGGGTTTTTTCAAATGTAAAGCAACAACTACTTACCTGGCCCTTTAGAAGCAAAATGCTTCCAGACTGTATCAAAGCCTTAGTTTTGTTGGTGTCGGTATGTACGAATGGTGTGAAAGGTGTATTTATGATAAAAGGGTAACATTGCTCCCCCCCGATAATTTGATTGTTGTTCTTGTAGTCCAATATTTGGTTTCAAAGTCATCTGATATTTCAAAATGAAAGCCGTCTGATCATTTACATCCAACACTGCAATCTTTTTATTTACTCAGCCAAACGCTTCAAGCTTATTACATTTACAAACCTGACAAACATCTCAGCCATTTTCATTTTTCCCCAGCCACTTTTAGATTGCCCTCAAGGATTTGTGTGTGTACTAATGCGATAAGACACACGCATGGTAGATAAACAAAAAAAGGAAAGCGCAATGAGAAACATGGAAGAAGAATTTGCTGAATGGAGCTTTAATGCAGACTGAAAACAGTGCCTCTCGAAGCCAAATTAGTGTAAATAGTGAGCTTAGATCTTTGGGATTTCGTCTCCCATGAGGCACAGTGATGCTTTGCTGTTGCCAGCTCTAGCTTGGGTCTCACAGCCTGACAGTGTAGCTAAAGAAACTCATTAAAAGTGTCTCCACAGCAAGCTACATGTATTGTTCTGTTTCATTTGTGGAAAAACTAAAGCTCCAGTGTAGATAGCCATTGTTGGTTCAGAAAAAATAAGATTCAGATATGTCATATTGTTGCTTTGTATTTGACTTTGCTTTATTCAACATAAATAGAAGACCAAAAAGCCTGAAAGGGACTGAAAGAATGGGAGGACAAAGAGGTATTGAGAGAGAAAGAGGGGAGAGAGGGGAGAGAGGGAGGCTGAAGATTGAATTGACACTGTCTGTTGGCAGCTGATGAGCCTACATGCTGAGAGTTCATTAAATGATCTATCTATTGAACATGTTAATTAGAGGCGTCTGAAATAGTATCAGAATCGTTGGCGTGGGACTGCTGTCAATAAGGAGGACATTGTCTGGAGGCTTTCACATTGAGCATGTATGACTTCTTAGGTTACAACATGTTTTATAAATATTAGTGATAGTCAAAAAAACTCAGTGCCTACCGTTTGTGTCCAGAAGGAATGAAAGTATAATCACTGAAATATGCATCACTTCACTCATTTCTGTTCTCAGAAAAGCTTGTTGTTTGTGACAGGCGTGGTTTAATAATGACAAGAGGAAATGAAATCTCCAAACAACCACTGCTGCTGTTCCAATATTGTGTGTGTGTATGTGTGTGTGTTTGTTGTCTGCTGACAGCCAGTGTAGAAATGTGATTAAGAATGTGTTGATGGAGATTCTCAGACACACAAACAGCTGCACGTTGGGGTTCAGAGATACTGCTGACTGCATCTGCTCACTCTTTCTCACTGTTTGACTGCAGGGGGGCAGCAGCACTGCACAGATGGGTATATTGTTTAGTATGCAGTCAGCACTGACAGATTGTGGAAATAGCAAACTGTTTTAAAAAAAAAAAAGTAAAGCTCCATAGAATATTGTCAGCGATAATCTGGCTACAGGATATTGCTGGACATACATTGATGGCATCATGTTGGTAAACGTGGCTCTATCCAACACTGTAACCCCTGCACCCAATACGCATATGAATGAATCACATGATCCATACCATAAACATGCAGAGACGAGCCTCCAGAATCCTTCTACAAATAAGTATTTGAATATAATAAACATTCAGCGGTCAGCTGGCTCGATGTAACATAGCACATATATATCATACCAATCATCAGTAAAATCAAGAATGCCTTTTGAACAATTTATAATGAATGTTTTTAATACAATTCTTGGTATTACTATGAGTTTAGGCTTTAAACGGTGCTAGATGTGAGAACCCAAATATGAGAATGGCCTTATTTCTGACTTTGGGAAGTTCACAGTACAGAGGTCAGTACGTTCTTTTTTTGGATCATGGCAGTGATGGTTGTTGAGCTGCCTTGCTTTCTCTCCTTACCCAGTGTGTGTGTTGTGCTCCCCAGGGCCCCCTCTTGCTCCCCAGGAGGTGCAGGTTCAGTGTGGTCAGACGCCTGGGATCCTGCAGGTCAGATGGAAGCCGCCACCTCTGACGTCTTCAGGAACCTCCAACGGGGCCAGTGTGCTCGGCTATGCTGTATGCACAAAGGGACAAAAGGTACCGAGCGTCAGAACAAGACCTTTTCTCTAAATCCTGCCATAGAGTTCTTAAAAAAAGGTAGCCTTTGCTTTTCTGAATGGTGCCTTCTATGAGTAGTGTTCTGTTGCCATCTCCTGGTGAAATTATATAATGCTGAAATCCCCCCAGGGTCCAGCATCACCTAAGATATCACTTTAAAAAAGAGAGCTGTAACAGGCTCCATGATGATGTGTCAGTGAGACACTCTTTCACAGGGAGCTTTTGTTTGTGTGTGTGTGCAAAAATGTGTCTATCAACCATGATAGTGTCCAGGTACTTTTTAAACCAAAATCAGCGAAGTGCAAATTTACAGTTTTTTGAGATGCAGCTTTTTTTAACTATCAGGTATTTCTCTTCAGCCAACATGTATGAGAGCTAGAAAAGCATGTAGTTTGTATGATGGAAGGGTAACACAGTAAGTGCTTCTGCATGCTAAATTCTGAAATGCCCTTTGATAATCTGGTTCTCTTTATGAATACAGATAGCAGAAGTCCTATACCCCACAGCTGACTATGTGACTGTGGAGTTGAACAGGATTCAGGGTCTGGAGGCCAGGGAAATCATTGTAAGGACGTTATCCACACAGGGAGAGTCACAGGACTCGCCCGTGGCCGTCATCCCAAACAATCTCTTGGGCTCACCACGCCTCTCCCACCGGACCACTGCGCCGTCCCATCCTATGTCCCACCCACAGTCCCATCCTCCTTACCCATCAACATACCCCCCAAATCATCCTCAGCCCCAGGTGCATCCTTTGCCTCGAGCCCAGCCCCACACTCTGCCCCACACACAGCCGCACACGCAGCCCGTCTGCCAACCCCCTCCTCATTTCCCGCACCACCCCATGCCCAAGTCCAAACCGTTAGTAAGTGCCAGAGAGCAAGAAACCAAAGAGCATGAGGTGGGAATGCGGACAGCCCCGCCCTGGGAGCGAGCCCCCTCTCCGCTGCCCCCCATGCGGGGACCCAACCTGCAGCCGCCTCACTTCCAGCCACGGCGATCGCCCTCTCCTCAGAGGATCCTGCCACAGCCTCAGGGAGCCCCCATCCCCAACACCATCGCCAAGGCCATGGCACGGGAAGCTGCCCAGAGAGTGTTTGCCGAGGGCAACCGGGTGCGTAGGGCTTTCATTATATCAATTGTAGCAGTGGATATTGATAAAGTGTTCATATCAACATGTGATAGAAATAAGCCAAGATTTTTGCTTCGTTATGTAATAATGCTTATTTCCCCTATTCCATTCTGAACATAAAGGGACCACAGCCTGAATTTCATTGTACAATAACCATGATCCTAAAAAGTATTAGTTTAATTTTCTTTTGAAAAAAATATGGAGCTATATTAGAAAAAGAAAATCGAAAAGAAAAAATGTGGATGACCACATTTTTTCACTTAAATTGAGGGAAAAAAAGGATTGAAGGAAGGTAACAATACTTAATAATTGTTTTAAATCAAAATAACATCTCTGTTATCAGGTTGAGAAAAGGAATATCTTTAGTGAGCGAGGCAACGCTTTGCATCCAGTCAACTCTGATGAGGAGGAGGATGGCTACGACTCTCCTCATGCGAGGAGAAGAGGAGCATCCGTGGATGAATTCCTCAGAGGATCAGAGTTGGGGAGACAGGTACTTTGTGTTTAGACAATGTGTATCGCTTTCTTTTAAGAACAAAGCAATCAGTACGTAGTAATTAAATCAATTCACATTCCATCATATCAAATGAAAGCCCATCTTAATGAGTGTTCCTGCATCTGTATAACATTAAAGGTGAGGTAGGTAATTTTGGAGAAATCAGCTTGAGTGCGCTAGAATTTGAAAATACACAGCCGGAAAAAATCTGCCACTTCCTTACAGAGCCCCTCCTCCAACACACACGAACACGCACATGAGGGCACGAGATAAGTTTGTGCACAGATGGAAGGCTGACAGGCAGGCAGGCCATCCAATCATTTTAGCCGGGCCGGCTACAATGATTGGTCGTGCTTTTTACAGTACCACAGCTTCCACAGGTGACATTTTTTTATTGATTTTTTTGTCAAAGCACTTAAGATATTCATTGCTATCGGGATGTTAAGAGCATTCCATGGAATATAACAAAAAGTGTATCTCGAGCCGGTTTCCCAAACTTACCTACCCCACCTTTAACGTGATCTTATCTAAAAATGTGATGAAAAATTGAATTACACTTTCATTGCAAATTGTGTAGCTATTCAAGAGTTTTCAACAGCACACCACATTCAGAATTTGATAATCGCAGTAGACATTTATCAGTATTATAGATAAAGGGAATTAAGTGGGTTTGCCAGCCAATAAGAGTGTGAAGTCGTCCAAGTCTTAAGGTGACATCATTGGTTGTAGACACTTTCTTTATCTACTTAGTAATGGTGACTTTTGTCAAATAGTCCACCAAACTAAAAGGATAACATTTAAAAGTTAAACTTGTTACTTAATATTCTCCTTTTAAACTCTATTAACTTCTCTCTTTCATTTTCCCATCAGCCCCACCATCAACACTACAGCCACAGCGAGGAGTACCACACGGAGAGCAGCCGGGGCTCTGACCTGTCCGACATCATGGAGGAGGACGAGGAGGACCTTTACTCTGAGATGCAACTGGAGGAGGGCCGTAGGCGGAGTATAAACTCTCACAACACTCTTAAGGTACAAACTGCACACCTTCTCTCTGTAGTGGGGGGAGGACGTGGGGGAGACAGGGCTTTAGGGAGGGAGAGGGTCTTTCCACCTGCAGAAGTGCTCTCTCTCACAGGCTCTACCACCAGGCCCGTCGTGGCTTTGCCCGGTACCCCCCCACCCACCAGCCTGCTCCTACACCCCGCACCTCCATCACTGCCGATCAAGGCTAAGCTCATGGGAATGGCTCCTTATACATAGCTGTACCGCATGATCAGGGGGAAAGCTTAATAAAGCATAATATTGAGTTATGGTTTGCATTTTTAAGCTCTTCATACGGCAGCAAAGGTTCCAAGTGTCAGATGTTAGAATGTGATTCTGAAGTGCACATTTTAACATACTTTACTGTATCGAAGGGTCACTGCATCTCAAGTGCACATGGGAATCTCATTTAAGTGAGTACTTAAATGGAAATATTCACGTTTGTTTATGTTCGTAATGTTCTAATGTTTAATTTTTCTATTGTCGATGGAAATGTTCACATTATCTGTACATGAGCCTGTCTTCATTTGGTTTGTCAGTTAGTACGCGTCATATGTATGCCATCATGTTAAGAAACTCAGTCTCTGTATTTTAGTAGAATTACAAAGCCAATACAAAATCATCGCAGATTTCGTTTTGTCTCGGTTATTTTGAGTTAAATCTGTACAATTATGTATTTACTCTTTAAATACACTAATGCCGCATCTCTTATGTCATCTCCATCTAATTGTTATACTGTGGCACATTATCCACCCCTTATACTTCTATCATAGACCAATATTGTTTTAAAACATGTATAGTGACTATATAATAATACACATTTTTCATTAGATATTGTTAGGAAAATAGTCACTTATTAATTGTCAAATTAACTTCTGCAGTTTTTTTCTGTGAGTACATTGAAGTATGTTTCACTTTATTCTAAATGGTATCATCATGTAGCTTATTCTCCCACTCAGCTGTATGTCGTTATCAGTTTCCTTTTTGGAGGATGTATTAATTCATTTCACCATCATAGTGTTTTCACTTATCCCTCACCCGTGAGTCACTTTCTATTTTGATGGATATTTCTAATTACTCAAAAGCAAAATTCCCTTTTTTACACATTAACTTCCAGGCCTCGCCCAGATTATCAGTTTTATTATTTTTACTTCTCCACATGTGAGCCCTCACAGATTCCTGTTCAGAGCATGCCATTTTCCTCCTCACGGAATGAGACTGCATGTTTTACTACATTGCCACAATTAACTAATTCTGTCTTTATTTTGTCTTTTCCCCCCCATTTGTTCTATTCACATACTGTGTTGTTTCCTGCCTGTTCTAAAACCTCCGAAAAAACTTTTCAACCCTCCTCCCAAAAATCTAAACTGAACGTTATTGAATTGAACTAACTGAACTGTGAAATTGTGGAACTTTGCTCCTGGTCACGACTGAAGGCGTATTACAAGCGCCAGGACTTAGCCGAGGAGAGGGACTGCTGGGACCTCCAGAGGGAGGTGGTGAAGCAGAAGTCGCTCCGCAGCAAGCGCCTCCACAGCATCCCCGAGGTGGCGGAGGAAGAGTCCGACTGCGTGGACAGCATGGGCCAGCGCCGTTACGAAGAGGGCAGGCGGCCAGGGACGCCACATACTCAGCGCAGGATGTACCCCCAGGACCCCCACATGAACAACCATCAGAACAAGAACTCCCGCCACCTGCAGCGGCAGCGCTCCTCGCCTCGCTTCACCGACGGTCGCTACGGCTACAGCGCAGACGACCGCGGCTTGGTACGACCCAACCGCCAGAACACCAAGAGTCCTGACAGCGGTTTGGACTGCGGCAGTGAGGAAGAAGGCTCTCTGGGCCGAGGGTATCGAGGGTACTACACTCATGGGAGCCCAATGCGGGGGCCCATACAGATCATACACTGCGAAGGCCCGGTAGAAAGGCGTGCGCTGGCCATGGGTCGCAAAAGAACTCTGACTCGCCAGTGCAGCGTAGAGGACGAGTTCGCTGACATCCCAGCGACTACAGCCAAGTCGGTGCACAGGGGGGACTTTAGGAGCAGGGAGCACTTTGGGCCCAGTCAGGAGGTTGGGCCCAGAAACTACTCCAGGGAGGGGGCCCTGAGCGAGGGCAGGCTGGACGAGCTGGACAGGGTTTATTACAGCCCCCACAGGGAGGCTAGGGCCCATTCTTTGTCCAGGCTCAACAGGGACCAGCCGCTGGTGTGTGATTCAGACTTTCTGCTGTACTTTCATCAGCAAGCTGCCGCCATTCTGTTTTCTTAATGTTGTCTGTTTTTCTTTATGATGACCCCCTTTTCTTTTCTTTCATTTTCCGTTTTTTGTTTTTCATTTTTATGACACATTATCACATGTTCATGGTTGGTCCGACTTGATGTTTTATTTTGTATGTGTTACTTTGCTTGTACTCAGAATGTCAGGTGGATTTTAAAGTAGAGTTTTCAATTACCTAAAGGCCATTTACCTACGTTTTGACTTCTCATGTCTTTGAGGGGAAAGGTTTCATGTTAAGGAAAGTGCTGCTCCCGTCTCTTCTTCCCCTGCCTTCTCTCTGGCAGCTGCCGGCTTCATTTGTTTATCTCCATGACTCGGCCTCTGCTGCTGTATCGCACCACTTTGTGCTTGAAGCTCCATTTCAGCATCTCCTGCCTCTCATTGCTTCATATTTATATTTAGGCCAGATCAAGACTTCTGCAGCCTGCGGAGATTCATTTAGCCATCGACCCATACTCATCATCTCTTGCTTGCCTCTTTCACATGTTTCAGCAAAAACAAACTTGTTCATCATCACTTCTCATATTAAATGTTTTGATTTTGTAGCATACATCACTCCAGGCTAACGTTATAATGGCTTTCTCCATCTAACTACATATGTATCCATTATTTCACTCCTTTTCTTCTCATCCACTCTTTCTCTTTAATCATCAATCGTGCCGCCATTTGCTTTCTTTTCTCATCAAGGAGCTGACATGCACAGAACAAAACAAACCAAACAAATGGTCTTTAGCTAACCATCTGACCCTTTCTGACCCCCAGTCCATGTTGTTGTGTTGGGGGTTGATTTGATTTACTTGTTTTGATGGTCTGTGGGGTTTCCTTATTGTTTCAGTTTTACTATTATTTTGCTGCCCTAAGGACAAATGGAAGTCACAACATTTGCTCTTATGGTTTTTATCTGTTGTTTTAACAGGATTGTGGGATTCTGTAAATACCTTTTTATAAAGTTATCTAATCTTCAAAATGCAGGCGGTTCGTTGTTCTAACATCTCGTCTTTTGTTTTTCACTCTAAAGATCATTGGGAACTCTTCATCACATGGAAACTCTGATCGCCTGGACCACTCAGGAAGGAGGGCGGTTCACATCGGCAACCCCCCTCAACAGCGGCAAATCCCATCCATTGGTTAGTGACGTCACCACATGAGGAGAAGCGTCATCCCACCTGCAGGGCCACTGATGTTTGTGCTATTTATACCATGTGTTTCCCTTACCCATGTGAGCCGAGCTGTACATCTCTCCCATAGAGCTTAACTGTCACGTAGACCTTTGATTTGTGGGGTGAATGCACACCCTGTAGCTGTCCATCCTCACAAGCTGGAATCGCCAAATGTTCACATGCAGTTCTGCAGGAAAGTCTTCCCAGATACACTCCCTATGCCTGTGTTTACTGTGGGTTAACATGTTTACATGACCAACCAATTTGACCTCCCAGCATTGCTGTTTTACACCCAGTGACTCCAGAGTGAAACCTGTTGCCTTGTGCACCCCCCCACCTCAGGGCAACCCCATCATCCTACTGTCTCAGCATGAGTGAATGGGCCATGGGGTAGAGCAGAGTGTGTGTGCTGACCGTAACGTTGTGATTGGTGTCTTCTGTAGAGATCACCATGGACAGTAACAGTGAGGGGAGTGAGGGGAACCTCTCACCCATCAAGGAGGATGTTAACTATGGCAGTGTAGCTCGGCGCAGGATATGGCGGTCTTTGTCCTCAGAGGATCAATATGGTATGTGGTGCAGCTGACTATGACAATTCACCTTGACAATGCCAGAAAAGGCCAAGAGTCGTTTTTTGAACACATGCAGTGATATGGTGGCCTTTGTTCTGTGCTGAACAGTTGGCCTCTTTGTATAGCTTAGCTATGCTGAATAAAGCATGAATAAAGCTGACGGGGTAAACCAAGACTGGCCCCTTTCCCGCTTTTTGGAGAATGAAAATCCCTTCCCTGTATGTACTCCTACACCTTCAATCCCTAGAATCCCCAACTCACTCCTACTCTTCCCGTTCACCCTCCATATGCAGGCCACTCACCCACCCCACAGTAACTTACCCCGACCTCCTCTTCCTTAGCTTTTTTTGCCTCCTCTTCTTTTCCTTCTCCTCCCTCCTTCATGAGCCAGTAGCCCGTTTGCTTTAATTTTGCATGAGCCGTTTACAATACAGTGAGAAGGAAAGACTGAAACACATTTCACATCTTCAGAAAGTCACCTTTCAGTTGCTTAGTTAGTATTGGTTGCAATACCTCTGAGCCATCATCCAGACTTACAATCTGCCATTGAAACATTTAACATGGTGATCCAAGGGAAGCATGGGGAACTGATATCAGGTTCATCCCTTCCCCCTCACTGATATCTGCGATGCCAGGAACTGCTGGGGCAATTGATGTGTTATCTCCTTTGGGAACGTGCCTCCTTTGTCTTTTTTTCGCTGCACATTGTTTCCAGATGTGGCCTCAAAGCATGCCTGTAACACCTGCATTTGATATAGGAATGCTCTCCTCATCGTGTCCAATCCCAGGAAAGCATGCGTGTTAATTAGCCTCTGTGAGATAAGGCAGTGAAACAGCAATGAACAATAGTGCAGTGTTACTCGTGTCCTGGTGTGCACAGTCAGTTCAGTTTCCCTTGCAACCTGAAATCTGCTTGACATGTGTTTCCCGTCTGTGCTGTGCTGTACTGTGCTCCCACCGTGCTGTGATGTTTAGAGACTGTCACGCCAGCTAGCAGAGATGTGTGAACGAAGAACCCCACCATGTGCCACGGTTGCACTTTTTCTGTAAAAGCACCCTTTTGCTTTCAGTGCGGTAACCCGACAGGAATATGGTTTCCAAAGTAAAAGAAATTAAAACAAAAAGCAAGATTTTCGGCTCTTTTTTCACACATGCATCTCATCGCCCTCTCCCCTGTCAGCTCTAACAAAGAGACATCTTCTGCTCTCATTGCCTCTACAGCCAGCGTGGCTGTATAAGGCTGGTAGTAGCAGCAGAGGCCTCCTCTATGTTTCAGACGGCTATGGCGGGCGGCGAACCGGGCGGGGACGGCGCTCCCCGGAATACTACGAGGAGTCGGAGCCGGACGAGATGACGCGTGTGTTCGTGGCTCTGTTCGACTACGACCCCATGTCCATGTCTCCCAACCCTGACGCTGCTGACGAGGAGCTTCCATTCAAGGAGGGCCAGATCATCAAGGTGCAGTTCTTAGACACTACAAAGACCTATAGACGGATTTGTTTCATGCATAGCAAAAAAATAAAATGATGCTAGATTTCTTGTCTCTTTAAATCCTCTATGCCCAAATGTTGTCTTAGCGAAGTGCCTTTTCTAATCCTTGTTTTACATGTTATCTGTTTCTGGCATGCCTTTCTTCCCCTGACACTTTGTTGTTCCTTTAGGTCTTTGGGAACAAAGACACGGATGGTTTCTACAGGGCGGAGGTCCGGGACCGAGTTGGTCTGATCCCTTGTAACATGGTCTCTGAGATCCAAACAGAGGATTATGATATGATAGACCAGCTCCTTAAACAGGGCTTCCTGCCACTCAACACTCCTGTGGAGAAGTTAGGTGAGATGTTTTCCTTCTGCACCGCCTTGCATTCTTCTGTTTTTTACTTTGCCTTTATACCCTCCCTGACTTCCAACTTCTGAACTGTCTTTTACTGACACATTTATCCTTTCCTTTGCTCTTATTCTTTTCTGCTTTCTTGTAAAGTGAACTGTGACCGTTTCAAAGATGGCCGCTCAATAAATCGCAGGTCCAGAAAGTCCAAGCGAGGTCTGTGTCCAGTGAGATGCTCTTCTGCTCTTTACTTTACTGCTCCTTTCCTACTTCTCACCATCTGTTTTCATCTATTGACTGCTTCAAACTAATCTCTAATATATGTTTTGTAACTAGGCTTACCATAACTAAAAACATGAGTGTAGTTTAGCTTGCAAGCCAGATTATGACATTTCAAAGCTATCATGTTTCATCACAGCTCATCCCATCCTTCAGGAAAGATGACCTGTTATTTCCACTGATTTACTGTTTTTCTGTTTATTATCACTTGTTCTCTAAATAGAGAGGAACAGGCGGAGTGGCCGGCAGCATCCGATGTCCACACGAAGAATGGTGGCTCTGTACGACTACGACCCCCGGGAGAGCTCTCCTAACGTTGATGTAGAGGTACTGCCCTCCTGTGGCTCCAGATATTCACTTTGTCTGAATCATTCTCTGTCACCACCATCATGTAAACTGATGCATAAAGCAGTCGAAGCACAAAGATGAGGATGTTCAATGTTTTGTTTAATGATTTCACTACTTAAAGTCATTTTGGGAGATAAGCATATTCACTGTGTCGCCAAGCTAGATCAGATTGATGCTAGTCTTGTGTCTGTCAGGTAAATATGAAGCTATAGCCAGAGAATGGTTGGCTTAGCTTAGCACTAAGGAAATAAGCAGGGTGAAACTTCTAGACTGGCTCTGATGAAATGTTTAAATATACAGTATCTGCCTCTGTATTCTGATACTAGCAAAGAACTGAAATTAGCATGTTATACCTAATTCGTGTTCAAGTTCTTATTTTGAGACGGTTGCACACAGAGCCATTATTAAACTTCCATGTAGTACACGGTGTACACTATGTACTTTCTTTAGTGTGAGTTTTGACGGGGTAGTTTTGTCTAGAGTTGAACGCGACTGTTCTGCAATTATAGGAAGTAAGAATCGCATTTTTTTGACTTCTTCTTCTTCTTCTTCTATTTAATTGCAAGCCAAACTGCCGACACACTGGCCGTTTCTCAATCGCGAGGATGCTTGCTTGGTAGCACATGTCTTCCGAGTCACTTGCTTCAGAAGCTAGGCAAGAATACTTCCTGGCATTCGGAAAACGAAGAGTGGAACAGGCTAGCAAGTGTGCAGGTGTGCGTCATATGAGAGGCCCCGCCTTACATTTTCCGCCACAGATTTGGGGAAATTGGTCCGTGCGCAAAGCATTGTGGGGATTTTAAGGACGCGAAGTCTACCCATGTGCAGCCTCGAAATTACCCCCAAACTAAGGACGCGGCCTCGGTGGAATTCCAAGTATGCTGGAGATTGGAACAGTCCTTCTGCGGCACTTGATGACGTAGCATCCTTGAAATATTGGCTTGGAAGCCAGTTTCCTCGAGATTGAGAAACGGCCACTGAAATATATCTGCCAAGATGGCGACTAATTAGGCTGAGATGTATCCAGTGACAAGACTTGCCTACAGACAAAAAATAGTTTTTTAATCATCAGTTTTTGTACAGATTCAATAAGATACAACAAGTTAATAACTGAGCCTTAGAGCTGCTGGCAGATGTTTTTATAACAGGGAAATCCACGATAGCTTTTTCTCCCTGCTTACAGTCTTTATTTCAAGCTAAGCTAACCCTCTGCTAGCTGTAGCATCAAACGAGTGGTATCCTGGCGAGATGATGCTGCACTATTCCTTGTTGTGCAACTCAGGGCAATATGTTACCAAAGGGCAAAAGTTAGCATTGTGTAAGATACAGGATTGAATTACTTTCCCGTGCTGTTTTTTTGCCCNGACAATTAAATAAGCTTTAAAAAAAAATATATATATATAAAAAATGTTGAACACGGTGCAAAAAAATCCACCAATTTAATGTAACCACGACCAACAGAAGAATTGGTGGATTTTTTTGCACCGTGTTCAACATTTTTTATATATATATATTTTTTTTTAAAGCTTATTTAATTGTCAAAACAGTGAGTTATTCAACATAAAACAGTTTTGTGCATGCAAATAAGTGCATATAATCAAGGAAGCATTTGAAAGTCAGTTTACTACACTTACCTGTGAGCACCACTTGCCTGAGAGCATCACAACCAAAGATCTCAAACTAGAAGTATTTACATCCAGTCATCAAATTAACAAACCTAGAAATTATTTCATTTTCTATAAAGGCTCCTCCTCCGGCTATAACCACGGTTTTAACCCTAGCTATAAAGCTCAAACTGGCTTCTTTCTTATAAAAAGGAATAGTTGACCTTTACATTTGGAGAAGTATGCTTATTCGCTCAAGATTGACACCACTGTCATTCCTTTAAAACATAAATCTAAAACAAGCAACTGTTGAGTCAAGCCCTACACAAAGACTGCTATCGGGGGAAAAGAGTATCTGTCCAAAGTGACCACATATCCACTTAACAGCACCATTTAACCTCACTTACATTGTATATATCATTTGTTTATTAGTACTAACAACAACAACAAAAGTTTAAAAGCAACGACTCATCCTTTTTTTGGACAGGTTATTTCCCAGGGTTTGCTTTGATTAGTTAAGAGGCAAGTAGCAGAGACTTCTGGAAGTTGCTGGTGCCAGCCAAGAAAAAGCCTGACTCATATCACGGCCAACTGTCAACATGTCAGTAAAGGTCCAGCAGCACTGCTTCCATAATCTACACGGGGAAAGCTGTCATTCTCCAGGAATACAGAGTGTTCAGGCCCCCCACTAAGAAGAACTAAGGTCATAATGAGCTTCAGACCCTTCATCTATGCCAACTGTCATAACATTGTAAATGTATTTGTGGCTTTGTTAAATATTCTGCTTCAATTTAATGTGTGATCCTGGCTATTAATTATCTTTATCTGATGATTAACTACTGCACATGGTTATTTAAACAATGCCAGTGTGTGTGTTTGAATGGTTGTTTAAGTTGTATCACAGAAAAATGACCTAGACAGAGTCTCCGTCGAAACAAACATAATTTCCAACAATTGTTAAATTATGTTCCATAAATAATAAATGAAGGAGGCTTGTGCATTCAAGAGGAATGAGGTTTGGGTATTATAGAACCATTGAACTGCATAAAAACACAACATAATACACGCCATTTTTCTTATGGGAACTAGAAACATCTGTTGAGAAAAACAGAGTGTTCCACATGAATATGAGAGCATCTGTGTACTTTACCATTTCATAAATCTACTTTGCAGGCAATTAATTTAGGAGAATGCAGAGAGCAGCCAGTGTCTGAAGGAAGATAAGGCAGTAATGAGCTTCTGTTAATGAGAGAAAAAAAGCTGCTGAGAACTCTGCCTGTGAAAGGCTGACTGTGAAGTTAGAGCAACACTGCAGCAACAGCAACACTGGAGCACACAAACTGTTTCTAGAGAAAGCTATGGTGACAATTCCTATCATGTTCACACTATCAGCCATCTCAGCCATTGCTGGGCTTGCTTTGACATTAGAGTCAGCTTCAGTGCACAGAGGAGGAAGCCCGACCATCAAATGGCCTGGGCCAGCATTTTTCCTTTAAGCAAGCCTCTAAAAAGTGTCATATCTACTTTGGGTTTTGAATGTCTGATTTGCTTGCTCGTAACAAACAAGAGGAGTGCTTCTCAAATGTTGAGCACTCAGGGTTTGGAGAGTGATAGACAGCTGAAGGGTGGGGATAAGAGGATGCACTGGGAGAGCTCTCGTGGTGAAAATGTTGAGAGAGGTGAGTGCTACAGCCTATAGGGAGTTTCTCTCTTTGCTCTGCTCTCCATAATACAGCCTTTGAGTTGACTTTCACCTTTGTTGGACTGTACCGCAGCTCAACAAAAAGCTCTTTGACTTGTGACCCAAACAAGAAAGCCCAAACCTCTGGTGCTGTGAGTGATTAGTAACCTGAGCTCCCTTACCTTCTGAAGAACTTCAATCTCCTGCTGCTTTGCATTGAGTACAGCCAAGGCCTGCTCATGCTCCAACTCTAGCTGCTGCCTCCGCTCTGCAGCCTCGCGCATATGCTGTCCACAGGGGGTGCAGGGGTGGAGAGCCAGGAG